CCCCTTTCGGGCCCCCCCCCTCTTTCCCCATGGTGGGTTTTTTTTTTTTTCCAAAACCCCTCTTCTTGTTGGGTTTTCCCCCCCCCCCCCCCCAGCGGTCCCATTACAAAAACACCCCAAAAGGGTTCAAATAAAAACCCCCCCCATTTCCCCCCCCCCGGGGGCCCCAAATTTTTTTCCCCCTGGGAAACCTTTTTTTTTTTTCACCCCGGTGGAGATAAATTTTTCCTTGGGTCCCCGTAAACCCCGGCCCATTTAAAAATTCAGAAACCGGTAACCCTGGTTTTTTTTTTTTCTTTCCCCCCCCCCCCCCCCCCCCCCCCCCCCCCCCCCCACAGCTGGAAGCTTATCTACTCAAGCGCGGCCTGCGAAGGCAACGGCGGCGGCAGGGGGGGCGACCGCCTGACGACCATCGAGGACATCTCTTACGTCTCCGAGAACTACCGCCTCTCGCACTCGGGCGAACAGGACGACCTCCGCGTCTACAAGCGGGTCTCCCCGCCCCCGGCGCGGGGCGACGACACCTCGGCGGCGATGGTCGGGGTTGCGGGCGGCCGAAAGAAGACGGCGGGGCGGGCGGCGGCGGCGGCGGCGGCGGGCGGCGGTGCCGGCGGGCGGCGGGGGGTGTCCAAGCTGCCGTTGCGGCGCCGCACGTTTTTCGGGTTTCTTCGGCGCCAATAGTGTGTGGGCGGAGGAGATGGGGCGAGGGGAGATGATGGCTCCGACAAGTGGGCTTAGGGAACACGCGTCTTGTTGCCGCTGTTGTTGATGATGATGGGGCTGTGGTGGTGACCTGGGTGTGTGTGTGAGTCGGGGGCCGGCACGGGCGGCAAGGAAGAAACTCTTATGACCGTTTTTGTGGTTGTTGTTGGTTGTTTCGTTTTGTTGCGTGGTTTATGTTGCGCGCTGGTCGTGGTCGTCGGGGGAAGCTTTGCTCGTTGCTTGCTCTTTCTCTCGGTCGTTCTTGGCGGGTCGTGTCACGCGAAACGGGTGGATCGCGAGACCGAGAGAGGGAGAGAGAGAAAAAACGACGTGCGCTCGTGAGTAGTTTGTCGTTCCGCTGGCGCTTGTGGAGCCCAAGATATTTCTGGGGTGGCGAGTGGAAAACGAGGAGGGGCCGCGTGCTTGCTAGAGTGGTATCTACTCCTTGGCAAGCAGCGGCTGCGGCGCGTGTGTGTGGAACAAGGATTGGGAAGGCGTTTTTGTTGTGTGAAACAAGGCAAGAGGGTGTTCCGTTGTGATGGGTTTGCCTGCGCGGTGCGGCACGGGGGCAGCCATGGGACGGACGGAGCGATTTTGGTTTTTTCGTTGTTGGCGGTTGTTGTAGCGATTCCGGCTTTTTGAAGTTTACCATGCCGTGGTCTGTTTGAGGGAGAGGCACGTCTTTCTCTCGGGTGAACAGGAAGAGGGCGACCAGGTTTACGATTGTGGATTGTGTTGACGGCAAGCTAGAGACAACATCGGGATGTCGAAATCAGGTTGTACGGGTTTTCCCGACCATTTGAAACGACAAAAATACCGTGTGGTTATGTTTCTTGTCTCAACCGGGAAAAAAACGCGCCCGCAGGCGTTATAGGAACGGGGAGGCTTGGCATCTTTTGGTCGTCGGCGTGAGACTGGGGGTAGTGTTACTGAACATGTTTGGCCGGTGATGTGGGAAGGAGATAGACGCCCACGAGGGGACGAAACAAGGGGGGGGAGGTTGTTTCGAAGGATGCGAAAGCATCTGTTTCTACGTGTCGGTATCGGCGCGCGGCTTACGTTGGGTATCCCGCCGCGCGGTGCGACCGTAAAAAGGGCGGTTTTGCCGAAGAGAATTGGAGAGCCACGGCAGGGCCGCCGCCTTGCGTATCTGCGCATCTGTATATACTTTTTTATATTTTAGAGGTAACGGCCCCGTGAATACTTATTGAAAGGGCTGACAACGGTGCTTAATACGACCGTTGGGAGGTACCGTAGATTGAGTTTGCTTGGTTTGGGGGGGGGGGGACGTTGAAG